AGAGGTCACTGAATCTAGTAGTTGAGGTTTAATGATCAATGAGGCTGAGCACATATACACACACACACACAAACACACACAGAGCAGGCCACACCCATAAAAACAGACAGTTTTTATACACTGGAGCAAGCTACCAAGATGGTCAGGGCACCAGAGCATATGGCATTGAAGAGAGTACTGGGGACCTTGGCTTGTTCAGCCTTAAATAGAATAGGATCAGGACAGTCTTACTGTTTTCTGTACTGCTGTACAACTTCAAGTTGATGATGGAAGTTATAGAGCAGAGTCAGACTCTTCTCAGAAAGGTGAAGTGAAAAGATGAGAGGGAACAGAGAAAAGTTGAACATGGGATATTCCCAATTCAAAAGTAGGGAAAATTTTTTTCACCATGACAGTGGTCATACACTGGAATAGGTGCCCAGAGAGGTTGTGGGATCTCCATTCTTGGAGGTACCCAAAAATCAAAAGGGTTGAGAAACCTGCTCTATTGGACCTGCTTTGAGCATGGGCTGGACTAGATGACCTCTGGAGGACCCTTCCAAACCAAGTTACTCTGTGATTCTGTATCTAGATATCTAGGCGCCCAATTTGCTGTTCAGAAGTTCGATCTGTGGGTACAGAATGTTCACTGGTATATAAGGCCTCTGTAAATTCCTGAATCTATCTTTTTACTTCTGTACTCAAGATCTGTATTATTTCTACCTGAAGTCAAAGTAAGCTAGTTAATTCAGATATACAATGCCAGGCCTGAGAGTCTACAACCCAAGAACTAAGACATATATAGTGTACAAAAAACCCTACAAAGTAAATTATACTACTGTTCCACATAGCACTTCAGATTTACTTTATATGAGAATTGAAAAGCAGTAAAAAATCAGGTTGCAAAGTATAATTATTGTTCCTGGTTCCATCTGGACAGGAAAGAGGCAATGGATCAGGAAAATAACATGTGGAATTTATCCTATCTAGTCTCCAAATTATAATTATAGTTGCTGGACAATCTGGGTAGATGTCTAAACCAGATATACATTTTTTACAAGTAGTAAATTTACAAACTTACAATTAGTAAAGCCTTACCTGTTTGTGCAGCAGTGATTGTAGATTTCTTTTTTTAATGTTAAGAAACTGGAAGCCCTGGTTGCCCAGGCAACTTTTACTCTGCGGTGTAAGGAAGCTACAACTTTCAAACTGATTTCTTTTTCACTTCTGGGCACTTAAAAAAATTCCACAAGAGCATCACTTAAGAGCCACTAAACCCTGACCCTGATGTGGAGGAAGCTGATCTATCCCAGGAAGAAATCATGGATTTTCATGTGAATCCATCGCCGGCTTTTGATGGTTGGGAAGTTTTGCAAATCAGCTGCTGGCTCTGGCGAGACCGAGTTGATCGTTTCATTTACCGTTGTCACGGTTTCACTCCTCATCACACATGAAACAGGGAGCTGAGGCCAAACAAAACGCACTGAAATTGTCTGCTGCAGGGATCAGTACCCCTGCAAGAACAATTCTGAGCACAAAAGCTGTATTTAAAAGGTGCTTTAACCACGTAGCCACCCACTTCAGCGTGTGTAACATAAAGCACAAGCGCGGTCCCACGGAAAACAGGCCTGAGTGTGAAGCTGAGAGCAAAGAGCCCTTTGCTGGGTGATGCCATCGTGACCCCCCCCAGCGCAGGCAGCTGGGCAGTGCTGAGGAGTCCCTCCTTCTTTTATTTAATCAGCAGTGACCAAAGGAGAAGCCACATGTGGGTCTGCTTTTGCTCCCCGCGAATATCCCATTTTCTTCCCTTACACGTAGCTGCCAGCTTCCAAGCAGCCTTTACCCTCACGGATTATGACAGCGAGAGCGGTGCCGCCGCCGCAGCGGCCAACACCTGATGCAAGAGCAGTTGTAACACCTCACTCCTCCGTGCCTGCTCTTCTCGCTGCTTCAGAGCTGCTCCTCCGTCCTTGTGTGCATCCCACTGGCCATTACTGGGTAAACAAACCAGACACAAACTACTGTTGTCCCTACGCAGCAACAGTCATTTATCAGCATAAAGAATTTTCCATTTTATAGCTGGCTGTAATTAAACTGCTTATTCTTATGCCAAGATTAAAAATAATGACCCCGATGCTTTCTCTGCGCTCGCCTCACAAATAATGCTGCCCTGTAGTTGGCATTAGTGAGCTTTAAAAGGTCTCGTTAAAAAGCTCCCCTTATAAACATTATATTAGCAATTTAAAAACACGCTTTCAAATACGAGCTTTTCCACAAGCGTATTTCAGCTGCTGTGTGCTATTACATGGCATTCACTGATTAAAAATTCCTCATCAATGAGCAATCATGAAAGTGACTTGCAATTTTGAGCTGGATTCCTTAACTCTTTGCTCTCGGAATCGCAGCCGGTGCAGCAAACCACCAGGGGCGGCCCCGGAGCCACAGTCCCACCCGCAGGACGCCCAGGCGTTTGGGCAGAGACCCCAGCCAGCTGGGCAGGCTTTCCGCTGCCGTAAGGAGCTCGGATTCCTACACAGAACGGGAAAAAAGCTAAATCCTAAGGGAAGGATCTTATCCTTGCAGGGACTGCCACAGTGCCACAGATGTAGAGCAGGACAGGGGGACGCTGAGGACCCGCCGCCCCCGCTCAGCCCGAGCCCCCAGCACTGGCGGCCGAGGTGCCACACTCGCCCGCAGCACTCTGGGCTTCTGCATGACTTGCACCAATTCGGGGCGTTCCTGCTTCCAAAGGCGTTAAATTTTCTCTGAAGTTGTTCAGGTGCAAGGAGCAGTTTGTTTAAGGGGAAGTCGCCTGCCGCAGCTCAGCCCGCCCTGCCGCGTCGAAGGGCAGCGCAGGGAGCAGGGAACGCGGGCGCCGGTGCCCCGCCGCGTCGGCGCAGGCAGAGGTGACGTCACCCCCGGAGCCTGCGGAAAGCAGCGCCAGGCAGGATCAGGCCATCGGCAGAGTGTAACAGTGGTACCTCTGCTTGTGCGAAACCCCGGCTGGTTGCCACGGGAACCAAAGCTGTGGTTTCCATGGTAACTGCTTCATTCGGCTGACTCTGGGAGATGAAATCCCGCAGCGGTGCCGGATGCACCAGCCTGGCACCACCGACGGGAAAATACGGGTCACGGCACAACAGTCCCAGCGCAGCGCACACACGTCACCCGGGGAAACCACCCCCCGGCGGCTCCCCCGGCCAGCCTGTCCTACCGCAGCTCCTCCCTGGGTTTTCCTCAGAGCCTCTGTTCAGCGTAGGATTACGGTCTCACTTGCCCCGGACACGGTGTAAAATCAGGACGGGCTCGACCCAAAGCTCGGGGAAGTTAAAGCAAAGTGCTCGGCCCTGGGGGAGGCAGGGAGGGGCCCTGCGGTGACCAGTCCTCGGCGGATGGCGAGAGGCGACCGCTTGAGCGCCGAGGGGAGGAGCAGAGCAAGGACTTCAGGCTCCCACTGTTCGTGCACCGATTTCAGCCCCCCAAGCTCTCAGAGCACCACCACAAGCCTTCCCAGGTGACACAGAGACCGTCCCACGCTCCTCGCAGGTGTGACCACCAGCCCCGGCTGCAGGCCGATGCCATCCCGGCTGCGGCCCCGGGGATCCTCCCGAGGGGACAAGGTGACGTGCAGCACGGCCTGAGCCCCCGGCACGGGTCTGCCCGCAGCCCCCCGGTGTGCGCCAGCAGCCGCCACCCAGCTCCTCCCCGTGTTTCAGCCCCGGCCAAGGGTGGCAGCCCGAGAGCACGGTCGGGTTCCAGGGGTGACTTCAGCCTCCGCACAGGCAGCGAGCACAGGGACTGCGGGGGCTGCACCGGCGTTCTGCCGGTACAGAGCAGTGTTGCTGGGCAGGGGCTCGTCATCGTCAC